TATGAGGTGACAAAGACTCTCCATCTCAGGAAATCCAGAAAAGGGACTCTGTTCTTGATTTCTTTCTTGAACACTTCTTTTCCTTTAAATAGTTCCGTTGATTCTGTTACTCTCTTGAATGACATTTTTAAAGGTATTTGCTTGTTAGCCTTGTTAAAATTTTGGGTTTACACAACTGTTAGCAGGTAAACCAGGCCATGTGGAGTTCTAATTAATTAGAAGCTATGTTATTAGTAGTAAGTGACTGGATTGTAGAAGTCACCTGTTCTGCTTTAAAAAAGTCTGTAGGTAATTGGGAAAAGACATTTTAAAAGATGATGCTTTATTTAGCTGAAAAGTGTAGGCTAGTGATTGTTAGGGCCCAACATTTTGATGTCATCTAGAAGATAAATTTTACCAGGAACTTGTCAGTTAATTAATTAGTTATATTAGTTAAATGTGAAGGAATAATTTGTGTAGCCTGTGTGGAAAAAGTAAACAGACCAGTCAAAAACTGAAGCCTCAATTTAAAAAAAGTAATTTAAAATAATTTAAAGAAAAGTTAGCAGCACCACTGAATTCAGTGGCAAAAATCTCAATTGAGTTTTGTAACAATTTCAGTGTAACTGATAAGAGATAAAGGTAGCAGTGTAATGGGCACGCTGCTAGGCTTTCTCTGGTCTTGATGTGAATTAATCTTCAGCATATTGCGTATTTGTCTCCTTTTACTGATACACTTCTGTCATGTTTTAAATCAAGTCCGAAAGATTTCCCAAGTGTAATATGCTTACAGTGTAAAGTGAAATCTTGGTTACTGAAAAAAATGCAGATTTTAAGGGGTGAAAAGTACTTATAAATTTGTGATATTTTACTGTTTTAACTGACATTTAGCTGTCATTTTATAACTATTTTTGAAACAGTGCTTTCCTTCATCTAGCTCTGTGCCCGTATCTTGCTTTTTCACACACTTGCAGAAGTTGTCACACCCCCCAGCCCCTTAGTACCTTCCATCTGAGAGAAAGGAGAGGTTTTTTGAGTGTGCAAGCCCAGCATCCTGGGCTGCATTAGGGACGGCATTGCAGCGGGTCAAGAGTGATGGTCCTTCCCTCAGCACCAGTGAGACCATAGCTGGAGTGCTGTGTCCAGTGCTGAGTTCCCCTGTATGACAAAGATAGGGGCATACTAGAGTGGGTCCTGCAAAAGGCTACTGAGATGTTAAAGGGACCGGAGCACCTCTCACATGAGGAGAGGCTGAGAGCACTGGAATTGTTCAGCCTGGAGAAGAGAAGGCTTACATTTTATCCATGGTTATAAATACCTGATGTGAGGCAGTAAAGAAGTCAGAGAGACTGTTCTTAGCTGTATCCAGTGACAGGGCAAGAGTGAATGGGTACAAATCAAAATACAGAAAATTCTATTTAAACCTAAGAAAAAACCACCCTTTTTACTCTGCAGTACCTTATACGGGAACAGGTTGCCCAGAGACGTTGTGGAGTCTCTGTCCTCGGCCAGACTCAAGACCGGACTGGACAGCCAGCTCCAGCTGATCCTGCTTGGAGCAGGAAGGTGAAACGAGACAATCTCCCGAGGTCCCTTCCAACCTCAAGTATTTTGTGGTTCTTGTCTGTTTTCCGTAGCCATTAATTTTCTTTTGCTCTGAATGGCTTTTCCAAAGTCAAGTGTATCCTCCTGTTGTGGAATCTGCCTTTACTATTTTAAGAAGGATCATACTGTCAGAAAATGATGTGTTTATGAAGGTATCAAGCCAGAGGTTTGTCAAGAGAGGTATTAGTGCCCCTAAATGGGCTCTCTTGACAAATTATCTTCTGAGCTCACTTAGTTATTTTGGGATTATGCCTTTCAATTTAGATGATGACTTTGGCAGCAGAAAGTAAACTTTCCTAGGCTGCAGCTCCCTGTGTTTTTTGTTTCTCCGTGCCTTCCCTGTATGCAGAAGTGTAGGTCCCATATGATTGACAGTCCTCTTACTCTCCTTCAAGATTGTCCTAATCTGAGGATTTAAATACCTTTAGTAACCTTTCTTCTCCTGCCTGGTGATTGAGGAGTCTCTCAAGACAATTCGTTACTTGAACCTGCATGGGCTGGGAAATATTTTCATGCATATCTTTGTGTGTCTGATTGTGTTGGACACAGCATGAGAGACAACCAGAACTTAATACATGTTCTTGTCTGTCTTGCTCTGCCTCTGGCAGCTTTGCCAGTTACAATCTAGTCATCCTTGGATCTTCTTTTTGAAGGTGCAGAGTCCTAGAGTAGGTCAGTGTTTATCAGATTTCAGTACTAAGGGTAAATCTCCTCTTTATGCATCCGATTCCAGTTTGCTGCAAGAGTGCAAATGGAAGAAATAGGGCACCCGAGGGGGAAAAAATACACAGATGAGATACATTCCTGTTCAGAACTACAAAACAGATGGTCCTTATGACCTCCTTATTTTCATTTCTCATCCCTGGTCTGATGAACTGCTCTTTACTGGCTTATGTCAGAGAGCGGCTTCTCATTTTCAGTGCATACCTTCAAATAGTTCTAAATGCTTAAATATTGCTACATATTTCATTTTATCAGCCAGTCCAGCTTTCAGTTTTTCCTGGCTCCAATATTGTTGAATGTTATAAAGCATGCAGCTGACAGGAAGATTTTATTTATAAACTTTGAGATTTATTTGATGTGGAAACTGATTGGAGGCTTTGAATGTACATAAAATTTGAATGCTGCTATTCAGAGGGAAAAGAAAGGCCCTTTAGCCCAGGCAAGTATTCCAGCCGTACTTAATCCCATAGAAATGCCAACTTTCTACCACTGCTGTCATTTCTCATTGATTAATACTTGCCCATAGCAGTCACCAGTGTTGGTTCAAGAGAGTGGTTTTTTACAGCACTCTGCCTGTCAACTTTGTCCCAGTGTTTCAGAGAATACCTTGAATGATTTCTCAAAAGACTGACTTTTTTCATCCAAAACAAACAGTAAGGATCAAACTATTTTATTCATGTTCTGATCTGTTTTCAGGATCATGTGCATCATGTGCTAGTCCTCTCTTAAGCAACTTGGAGATTTTATTTTGATATCCAGTGTCTCCATCACTCTGGAGAGCTTCTGGAGATGTCTCCTGCCCATGTCTGTATAGTGCTTACCCCCTTCATAGCTATTGCTTTGGCTCTGGAGAGCTGAAGAAATACAGTGCTAATGAGTAAACTTGATTTCTAAACAGTTTGTGCCTTAAGGCATATTCAGAAGCCTTGCAGGGGATATCATGGGGATATAAATGAGACCAGGGAATCATTCTGCCTATGTTTTAAGAAATTTTGTAAAATCTTGGTAAAGGAGTATGCTAATTGACACTAAATGTTAAACATTCTTTGCCTTTTGATTTGGAGATGGTATAGCTCATTGGGAAGATAGTTTTGCTTCTCTGTCTTTTATAGGAAGTGCTGGAATATGGAGATCTCTGACTAAGACTGTCCCAATTGAACATCTCACAGCATAGAGAAAGGTACTCAACAGGATTCAAGCACACTCCAAAAAGACACAAATCACCGCTGTGTCACTTCTGAGGATTGTCCTTTTTTCTGAGGCTTTATAGAGCTGTGTCTTGAAGATGTGTTAACTTGTGTTGAACATTTTATTGTACCCAAGACCTTTGGGTGGGTAGTTGCTTTTTGAAAAGCAGTCGTCCTCTTAGATACAGGCCCCCTTCTCCAGGTGACCTGTGTGAATGAGTGGTGCTTGGGTGCAGTCCCCTGCAGTTTGGATGCATGCACGCACGCACAGTCATTCAAAGAAGAAAAAAAGGAGTTGCTGACAGCAGTGGAGTTTCTTTAAAACACACAAATAATGAGGCTGGAGTTCTTTACCATTTTAACTTAATAAGAATCGAGCAATAAAAAGAAATGGCTTAGTTTTGAGAGGAAGAGACAGTGAAGTATGCTCTGTCCTTTCATGCCACAGGTATGTTAAGTACACAGGGGCCAGCATGGGGACGCTCTGTGCAGGTTATAGTGATTAGACTCACATTCATGATGTGAAAACATCTATAGGAAATACAACTCAAACCTCTTCATTTAAAAGAAGATTTATTCTTTCTTTATCGATGTTTATTGATTTAGTTAAGGCCTGTCAATGAAGAGGTTGGCAGTCTTTGAGTTAGTCAAAAGCCTCTAGGCCCAAATTGCAGTTTTGAGGACTCCTTAATGATGATCTTTCAGCAGACTGTCAAAAAGCTTTTCAGTAGGCTGTATTCAAATATGTCTTGGTGTGTTCAATATATAGGACAAAAGGAAATGGTCATTTTAATAACTCCTAATTCTTTTATGTTTTGTTTTTTGCGTATCTTATAAGAACAGCTAAAACAAGAACAAAACTATCACACTGGTATTTTATGATCCATCATTTTTCTCTGTGATTTATATTAACTGGTCAATCTAAAGCTATTTATTTTTTTTAAATTGAAGTGTTTTCAGCTTGATGAGGTGAGGCTCTTCCTGTAAACACCAAGAAAGAAAAGGCCTTTTTCAAAAAGCTCAGAGAGAGCAGAGATGAAGCGAAAGCTGAACTGAGGTGAAATAGGAGCGGGATAATGCAAAAATGATACACTTCTAATGAAAGGACTATGTTTCCTAATAGTTAAAGCTATCTAAAATAAGCGATGTATGCAAGCCTTTTCTTGTTGTTTTTTTTTCAGGAAACTGCATTTTTATGTTACTGAATTTCTTCCACAAATTTTTGTGGATTCTGCTTGGCTTTGGGAGCTGATATTTATAAAATTTAGGTCACACATTACATGGTTTGCACTACTCTTCATATTGAAATACAAGGTCTTCTGCAAGTCCATCTTCATCCACAGATAACGGATCTATTCATGTGAACACAGTCATTTTCTTGCATGGCATCTGTTGAAGTTAATTTTCTACAGGCTTTTTCATATTTCACATATTGCTGGTATTGGCAGTCTACTTAATTATTCTTCATTATAGCATGTGGCTTAAATTTATACTTTTCTTCTACAGTTTGGAAGAACAGAAGTAATTGATAATACTTTAAATCCGGATTTTGTAAGAAAATTTATAATGGACTACTTCTTTGAAGAAAGAGAGAATCTGCGATTTGATTTGTAAGTTAACCATCTTCAGTATTGCAGCCTCTGTGAACATACTAAGTTTTGTCCAGCATAAAATTAACTTGAAAAGAAATAGTATCTATTGATGTGCAATACATTAATAAACATGATTGGTTTAGCATGGCTTCCTCAGAAATAAATGTGTAACATAATAATGACCGAGTTTTAAGAAATCAGTGGATGTTAACTAGTCGACGTACAATCATATTCACAGTAATTACTTTTAGAAAAGAGTTAGAAAGCTAGGGAAGTCAAAATGTTAAAATGCAGCATAGCCAATAAAACAGGTATGGACATGCTGTCCGGAAATAAAATATGGTACAAGTAGTACAGAGCCAAAATTTTCTTTACTAAAATAAATGCCATTATGCATCTAAATATACTACATTTTAAGATTTAAAAATGAACTGTATTTACATGCATAATGGCATTTATTTTTAATATATAAATATATCATTATATATATATATGGCATATATTTAAGATTTTAAAGTGAAAGCAGTTGTTCTAGAAGTAGGTGGCTTTTGAGATTATTCTATATGTACTCATTTCATTCCACTAGTGGAATTAACATGATTTTAACTTAGTGCTTTGAAAAATACAATTGAGAGTCCAGTCACCAGGTCACCTTGGCATGTCATCTGTTACATTTCACCCTCTTCTTATTATTCCAGTATTTGTGATAATCAAGCCTGTCTTCCTTTTTCAAATACTTACCCTCTTTTTTATAAGCAATTCTTCCTGACCTTGCCCTGTGAGTGAGCACTTGAATAACTCTTACAGGTTATTAAGGGAAAGTCATTCAGTTAGTTTTGCAGTATGTGTATAGTGACCATAAATTTTCTTTACGTGTCCTTTTTCCTATTTCTTTTTGTTTCCTTTGCAAGGTATACTTTAGCATGAGTTTTGTCAATTCTTATTTTGTGTTCCTAAGATTTCTGCATTCATGTGTATTTCTTTTAGTTTATTTGTTTTAAGTTGCTGGTAGGGTGCACTGAAATACTCTTGAATGGCACCATTCCCTATATTGTGAAAATAAAAAATCCCACCCATGTCTAATTTTTCTTTAGCTGTAAATGTCTTTTATGGCATGTCAGAATGCTTCCTGAGTTAACAAGAAGTGCTGGAGGGATGGGTGAGGAAAAAAGTTCCATTGTGTTCAACACACGGACAGCAGCTCACTGTTTCAGCTAGACTTCCACTGTGTCAAGGAGTGAAAGGAAATACTCCATGCAGGGTAGATTACAGGGTGTTTCTAGATGACTAGGTAGAAAGTCTTTCATCTCCATCATGGAAGCCTGGTGCAGATTTTGTTTTCTATTTTAAAAATTGGGTTTAATGTCATTAAATCTATTGAGTATAACTGGCACCTGCTATTTAAAATAACTTCAAGTTAGAGTTAATCACTTTGTGTAATGAAGAATTCTCCTCCAAGTGTAGGTAAGACATTGCTGAAATAGACATAGTTGGGGCTGTGTAGGAATCTTGATTTGGTTGCCTCTTGCTCCTCATAGGATGCATGCATGTTATGGGAAGGAGACAGTGCAATAGAAGAGAAGAGCAAAAGAAATAAACCAAGAAAGAGAGAGCTAGGCTCAGTCTAGGCAAAGGAAAGAAAGTCTGTAAAGAACTTCTGGGTAAGTGCTATCTGAAAAGGACTTGGGCCTGGAAGGGAAAATACAGTCTCCTGTTTGATTCTTCATATACTTAGAGAAATGAACCCCTGTTTATTTATTTATGACAAGCTGTAAATATCAAACATACCCTGTACTTATCAGAAAGACCTGACAGCTTTCTGCTGCTGTTCTGGATTACCTGAACACAACTCTATTCTGAACTCAAAGCTGAATAACTGCTTTAAATGTTTGCCTGCAAGTAACCATATAGCCACAGTCTGTGAATTTACTTTAGAGTCCTATAATGGTGATAGATGAGAAATGAAATATTGTAGAACTTGGAGTTTAAAATGTGCATCTCGTACAACTACTCATGCGTTAAAACTCTGATTTAGATCAGGAAAGAAGAATCTTTAGAAAGTTTATTTTTTTACATTCCTCAGCAAAATTGTGTACTACTGTTGGCCAAGGTGTTATTTTATGAAGAAAGAAACTTCTCACATGATTCATATTTTTTTCAACAAAAAGAAAGTGGCAAGTATATCTCTGGCTTTTGGTGTTCTTGTAAATGAGCGTGAGCCCCCTCTTAAGCTGTACAGCCACTCATGTCTCAGGCCCCCTTCTGTTCAAGTTACCAGTTGTGTTTTTCTGTTCAGTTTCACCAGACAGTATGCAATTACTTCTTTTTTTGTTTTAAACTCATGTTAGTGATTTTTATAGTCATTCCTTTGTTTACAAATACGTTTCTAAAACTTTGACTGCTGCACCACATCCAACTATGTTTTGGTATTCCCATCCTCCTGTCTTGTGGTAACGCGTCCCAACAAGCAGCTGTGGTAGCACAACTGAAGGGACAGTGCGCCCCAAAGTGGGAGTGAAAACGTGCTGGGGAGGCTGAGATGGGCAGGGAGGATACTTTTTCAATTTAGTTACTGGTATTGTATCTGAATGTACAATTTAATAATTATTTTTTTAAAATCTATCTTTAATTCACAGTTTTTTTTTGAACTCTGGCGTGAGAAGAGGAAGGAAACAATGGCATTTTCTAGCTCGAGGAAGAACAAGATTATGATAAGCTGAAAAGAACAAGTCAGATCTTGCTAAAAGCAATTTAGTTTATTGTCAGTTATTTCTATTTAATTAGTCAAGTGACTGAAAAATTACCTAAGAAAGTAATTCACAAGTTTGTTTTCCAAGATTAATTTTAATTTTTTGTTCTGTCTTTTGGCAGCTTCCATTGTTCTAAGAGGAATATAAGAATAATTTATCTTAGTAGCCTGCACTTCATTAAAAACCATTTCAAGTAACTAGTGAACCATAATACTATAGTCTGTCATGGTTCAGTCTGGCAACTGTGATATAACTTTACTTTTTTAATTTTATTTTTAAGCTACGATGTTGACTCAAAGAGTCCGAACCTATCGAAACATGTAAGTTTTTCTCACTATTATACTTTTCTGTGCTGAAATGCTTACACTTTCCTAAATGTGTTTTTTATTTTGAGTGCAATACCAGATACGTAGACGCAAATAGAGTGATTGTGTGGTGGTTAATAGCATATAATGCTCATGAGTATAATTTTAATGGGACATTCCTCTTGTAAAGGGCATATTTAAGTACACATTAATACCTTTTCAGTCAGGTATGTGATAATGCTGCATTTTGTTGATACTTCTCTGGGTCCTAAAAATTGTAAACACGTTTTAATTGTGTTCCAGTTAACGTTAGTAGAAACCTTTAGTGCTCATGTCATCTTGAAGTAAAAGGGATTAAATAGCAACTTTAGAATTTAGCAATGCAAAAGTAGAATTCAAAGGCTTCTGAGTGAACTTCTTTCAAATAAAGACAGGAAGGCTTTGGTAAGAGAACCTTTAAGAACCTGAAGCAAAGGAAAAGAAAATAATGGAAGGAATGGGGTGTGTATGCTTCACAGTGAAAAGATAAGACTTTTAGCCATTGATCTCCAGTTAGATCCTCTCTGTAAAGATTTAAAGCCCCTGGCAAGCTGTTTTCCATCTCTGTCATCATGGAAAGGTGATCTGAATAACTGCAATGCTAGCTAGAAAAACAAGCTATGCAAAAAATAGAAGTCTTTGCTATACCATCTTCAACAAGGATAACACCTCATCCTGTGTTTCTGTCCTTGATTGTTTGCACTTCTGTAGTAACTAGTTCTTCTGAATTATTTTCTTTTTTCCCTGAAACATACTTTTTTGTACAAAAACATCATAATTAGGTTTTAAGAAAAAAAGATAAGACACAAGATAAGTTTAGTCACTATGGAATTACAAACAAAGATATATGCAGGTATATAGCCTAGATTACTAAAACTGGAATTAAAGGTTTGAGTATTTTGCTGAGCCCATGGAAAAAAGAAAAGGACAAAACAATGAGAAAACAAACTAATGTACTTCTGAAGATCTTGAAGTACATATGTGCATGTTACATTCTAATTCATACAGGCTAAGCATACATATTAGGTTTTTAAACAGTGCCAATTTCCTAGAATCTTCAGTTGTGGAGAGAAACTTTATCTAGACTTTAACACAACAGAAATATCTATTTCCCTCCATTGTCTTTAAGTGAAAATCTGCACAAGTTGATGTAGACTTGGCATCTGTGCTGCAGACATCCAAACTATGCCATGTAGTATCATACGCACACAGACGATGATGACTCTGAGAACACTGTTGAAGATGGTAGCTAAAAATGGGTTTCTTAACCACAGCAATTCATTTCCATAATTTCCCAAGTGCTCAAGGTTGGTCTGGATTGTTCCTTTCGCCGCCAGCGTCCTGCATGTCTTCCCTGTAGCTCTTAAGATTTTGAGCAGTGAGTACATAGGAAGTGAGCAGAGCTTTGCTCATATCCACGCAGTGGGAGCTTGGTGTTTCTGGAAAGTACCAGGCCAGTACTATTTGCACAGCTGGACTGCTCACATCTTGTAGTCACTTCGTGTGGAATAAGAACTTTCCTGTTCCTAAAAATAGCTGTTGACCCACTCCTTTGGAAGTACTGGGCAATTGAACGGTTTAGGGGATGAAAAAAGAGTCAATCTGGAGAATTTCAATTTCAGCAGCTCAGTTTTGGCAATATGAGAAGCAACTGCAGCAAGTTTTATAACGGATGTATGAAGTAACCAGAGTAGACAGTGCTGCCATTGTAGCTATCTGTAGTAATGTTTATAAAACTGGCTACCTGAAATTAGACTTTCATGTTCATGGTAACTTCCTGCTTTAAGAAAAAAAAACCCAACAAAAACAACAGAGTACTGAACAGTTGTAATTAATAACAGACTGTGGAACTAATAGGAATTAATTATAGGAACTGCACACGCACACACAAAATTGTGGAGTACATGGTTTTGGATTAGAAAATGGTGTTATTGTAGAACGTGTCATGCCTGATGTTTTTAAAAATGAATGAGGGGCTGAATATTTTCAGATGAATTTTAGCTATTTTAAAAGACTTAATATTTATGGAAACAGTGTCGCAGTGTCAGATCAGTTAAAGGACATAGTTAAAAAACATTTTTTGCAGAGTTATTTTCCTCTTCAGTGGGATTAGTTCTCAGATCCAATCTGCTGTATGGACTCACAACTAAGACAGCTCAGAGATGACTGGCATGGGCTGAGAGAAGACTCAGAATTACTTGTACAGATATTTGCTACTGTGCACAGTATAATGATGTGGTTTGCTGTACAGGAATTATAGTGTTTCGATTCTTGTTACTGCTTGTGAACAAATCTCACAAGCTACTGTTGTCACTACTGCCAGTCATGCTAGGAAGAACAGCTGGCATGCTCTTTTCACTTGCAAGATAAGGAGTTGGACTGCAGCATTTTTTTTTTCAGTATACCTACAACTGTTTAAAAATACATTCATATTTTTAAGCTACTTACATTACAGGGAGACACAGTATGAAAATTAGCTGATTTTTAGTGATACAGTTGAATTCTAAAACACAGGAAAAAGTCTGCTGTTAAAGCAATGTTATATGTAATTGTCAATCCAGGATGCTCATAGAGATCCTGCACTGGTTTGAATTTCTGCCAACATAATTAACTTGAAGAAATTAATGGAATCAGTTTAGAATCTCTTCATAAAAGATAAATTTATGAAAATGTTCCAGTTAAAGAAGGTAAAGGAACAGTCATGTTTCTAATGCTTTTAAAATTTCCCATCTCTGTTTCATTTTTGTTGATGAAAAAGGCAATATAAGAACAGTAAATTGAGTGCATTAGAATTACTTCTGTAAATGTAACCAAGTGTTATGTAAAATACGTAATAGGGAGTCTGTTTCATGATTCCTTACTGTGTAATTATTATTAAGATGCGATGTCAGCAGAATGTGTCCTACAATAGTGAAAAGCCCAGGTAAGTGGGGAACCAAATTTGTTTCAATGTGAAATATGAATTTTGAGTTTTTATGTTACTGCTTTTCAGGATTTTTTGGGACAGATGTTTTGTACACTGGGAGAAATAGTTGGATCACAGGGGAGCAGACTGGAAAAATCAATTGTGTAAGTATGGCATTCTTGAATGTTAGATGAATACAAACTGCTTCATGAGGTGAGAGTTGTGTGGTAACATAGAACTGACAGACGGCTTCTAGAGAGAATAAATTGTTAGGTACAGTAGAAGTGTTTCTTTATAGACTTTGATAATTTAAGTTTCAATTTGGACAATTAATAAAGGAATTGACTTATCCAAAGTTTTTGTCACCTTCATTACCTCTTGCATTAGAAATAGTTTGAGTATACTAATCTTAAAAGTGTTTTTCTTTCTAGTTCACAAATTAACACGCCATAAATCTTTATTTCCTTTTGTTCAAGCATCAAGAAAGAAAGTCCTTACAGTTTCAAATCCAAACATTCCTACTTGTATTTCAATTGTTCCCGGTAATATAATTCCCAAAGAATGAGGCAGTCTGAGGTATCAAATATTTTCTATTTATCCTACTAAATTTATCAAAAACTTTCTTATGATTGATGGATTTTTCTCCCACTGAGAGGATTTTGGTGTTTGCAAACCACTGGTCATAGGGATGTACAGATATTTAAAACACAAATTATTGGAACAATCTTCATTTTCTATTCCTAAATAATGTTTGAGTAATTGAAAATATTTTAAAATTTTTATCTAAACGTATGCTACAAGTTCACATCTGATATTAAAAGCAAACATTTAAAGGTATAGCTGGGCATTTCGTGTGATGATAATATCTTGATTTAGAATTTTTGTGAGATTTTTGTTGTTGTTTTTTTTTTCTTTTAATAGTACTTGGACTGCAGTGAATGATAATGAATTTGTTACACTGTCTGATGAAGCATTCCTCTTGTCCCATTTTACTGGGTTCATTATGAGTAATGTACCAGGGTTACTTCATTTACTTTTCTTCATCACTGATTTCCTTATAAGGACAGGTGAAGTTTTCAGGCTTAGCAAAACTTACCTTATCTGGGCCAGACATAGGTGAAAACACCACATGGCACATATTCTGACTTTGAATTTATATAACAAGAACCAGGATCTGGATGAACTACAACAATTTGCAAATTTCAGAATGTACTTAGATGTTATTTTAGTATAATTGGAAATACAGGAAACTCCCTAATTGAGTTATATTAATGGTGCATTATTAATCTCATGTAAAATTCTTTAAAAGTATGTTCCTAGCTGTACATTTTCTTCTACGTGTATATTTGGTGTAATAAACCATTTATCTTACTCAAATGACTCTCTTATAACTATCGTTAGTGGCTTATCTGGTTTATATACTACTTATCTTTTTATGTATGTATCTTGTATGCTGTACCTGCCAGCTTTAGACTTAAATGTTATTTTAATCGAAGTCCTGTGAAAAATCTAAGAAGTCAGTATTTTGTTATCAGTGACCAAAATATATAATGGTAGCCTTTTTCTCTAGATTTATGAGAGACTTTTTTCTTGTTTATGTAACGGACTTAATGTCATTGATAAAATAATATTATAAAAACTTTTCTCTAGTTTGTATCAAATAGTATCATGATGTTCTGTGGAGGTAGCCCTAAACTTTTCATCTTGGTGAAAACAGTGGCCATCTTCAAGGAGACCCACATAAGATATCTATCATTTTCTCTTTCAATAACTTTGATGTGTTGAGCTGTCATGCTAAAAACTCTTCTCAATGCTTTAATCCAATTAAATTCTTAATTTTTTACAATTCCAACACAAGCATAAGCTTGAAAAAGCATCTGAAGTTTCCCACTTCCATGCAAAAAATAATTTCAAGTTATCTCTGGAACTCCTTCCAGAGGAAATAACAGTTCAGAACAGACGCTTTAAATCAGTAAACCAAAAGTGAATTTACATAATTTTCCTTTAATTTAATCTAAAGATCCTGACGAAATCATAAAAACTTTAAAATAAAGTAAAATAAATATTTCCAAGACAAAAACTATGGTAAACTTTCTTTAATTATATTTTAAGTTTAGAAAGTATTTTAATGGGGCGTAATGTACTTGAATTTCTGAGACTTAAGCATGCCTGAAACAAATCCTTTTGAATCATATAAGTCAGGGGTTGGCTAGCACTGTGAGGCATTCC